CTTTAGGAACACAGTTGGGTCTCCAATAAAAAGTTTCAAACACGTTTGGAATAAAGGAAACTCCAAGTTTAAGTGTGTTCATGTGGCTTGCTTTTCATAAATAATTGAAGATTATATTTAGTTTGATAAAAATCTTTCCCAGGCATTTTTAATTGTAAAGCAGCAAGTGGAAAATTGTTTTTTTATGCAGCTAATTTATATACTGTCTTTAGGGGGCAGTACTAAACCACTGATAAATCTTGTTATTTCTGCTAATGTTCCTACTAATGGTTAGTATAAAGTAAAACTAAAATAATTATAATGAGATTTGCGATGCAATTATATATACCTCTTAATATTAGTAAAATTTCCTAGGTAGTTAAATGAAAATGATAGTTTGAGGTTCATTGATAATTCATTCAATAAATAATTGTTAAATTCTATTATGCATACACATTGTAAGAGATACAAATGTGAATAAGGCAACGTTTGCTTTCAAATAACTTACAATTAACTGCGATAAATAAGTTGTGTTTTGTGTGTGTATGTGTATACAGCTCTTTCAGGATAAAGATAATAATAAAAATACCAGTATGTATTCATTATTTTTTACGTGCCAGTCACTGTCATGCAATTAATTTTATCCTCATATAGCCCTATCAAATAGGAATTATTATTTTACCTACTTTTCAGATAAGGAAACTAGGATTAATAAGATTATGTGATTTGCTCAAAGTAACACAGCTTGGAAATGGCAGAGATGCGATTTAAATGTATATCTATTTAACTTCACAGCTACTTCTCTTTGCCACGATGCCATCTATCATCTCAAGGTATATGTGAAATATCATAATACACAAACCCACACAAAGAGCTATAGACGTTTAGAAGAGAGCCATATCATTTCTGTTTGTGGGAAATCTGGAAAGAAGAAATCTGAACTGTATTTTCAGGAAACCAGTGGGATCATAAGAGAATAATAGCTAAAATGGTAGTTAATCTGTATTGAAATCTTATTATGTGCCAGGCACTTTATATTCATTACCTTATTTAATTATCAGGAAAAAAATTCTGAGGGAGGTTCTACTATATTTTTTCCCATTGAGTAGATAAGGCAAGTGAGGCTGACAATGGTTATATTTGTCCAATTTGTAATATCTGACAAAAATCATGCTAATAAGTAGGCTAATAAGTAGGCAAGCTTAAACTCTTAACCAGTACAATATGCTGCATGGAGAAGTAAGATGGAAGGCATAAATAAATGCATTGAACATTATTAAGGAAGGGTAAACAATTCCACTTGGTTATAGTCTGGAGGAGTATAGTAGAGGAAGTAAAAGTGTTGTCATATAGTTTGACCATAGAACCTTGAGGAATTTGGATATTATTTACTGTACAATGGGAAATAATTTATGAGATTTATGAGCAACGAAGAGACATAAACAGGGTTTTTCTCTGGAGAGAAGAAAGAGGAATTTCCTGTAAGATCGGATCAAATAATTGTAGTACCATTAACATAAGTACAAAAGAACTGATTAATCTGTGAGATGTTGATAATTCTTACCAAGTATGTAATGATTTATGGTGTCATGCCATGTCAACATTGATGGTCAACCAACAACTGATCATGAGTTGGTGAAGGAGATGCATATTTGGTTATTTTATTCTATTTTGTAGACAGCATTGATCATACACATAGATGCTCTTGCTAGATTTAAGTTTTAGATGCCCCAAGATTTTCTCACCAGGATGTCTGTAGGATGAAAAATCCCTGTGATAATCTTATTTATTACTGATTTTAGAAATGTGTTTTTATGAAAGAATGGGCAGCTATGTACAAAATTACAGACATATTAGTTGTCACAGATAGCAAATTGCTTTCGGGAGTGTCATCATGTAGCAGAAATATATTAACAAATACACTTTTTTAAAATTTAAATTGCAATTATATCAGCTTGGTTATTCAATATATTACCTTTTACAGGATATTGTTTTGAATGAGAAGCCATGTAACAGAGTGGTCAAGGGGGTCCGCTTTAGAGTCAGGCAGTCTGGATTGGAATCCTTTTTCTGCCACTTACCAGCTCTATGACCTTGGTTTTACTTGACCTCTCTGTGCCTTAGTTTGTGTGAATTAAAGTAATGAATAAGAATCCTATGACACTACAGTGTCACATAGTAAATGCTCAATAGATTATAGCTATTATTATTATTGTATCTTACAGGCTGTAACTGCTTATGGGGCTTTTTAAGTTTATGACTTCTCAGTTTTTGAAAATTGATGAAGGGAAATTTAAGATGTGAATGTAGAAAAACAAAGTCTTTTATTTTTTTAAAAGATTTATTTATTTAGAGATAGAGAGCACGAGCACGGGGACGGGGGAGGAGCAGAAGGAGAGGGAGAGAGAGAATCTTCAGCAGACTCCCCACTGAGCAAGAAGCCTGGAATGGGGCTCAATCCCGTGACCCTGAGATCATGACCTGAGCTGAAATCAAGAGATGAATGCTTAACTGGCTGAGCCACTCAGGCACCCTAAAGTCTTATATTTTAAAGTCACAATTTTTGGGGAGGTCAAGTGGGTACCATTTATAATTTAATATATAGAGTATTTTTACTAACTTCAATAATCATGATCTATCAGTGTGTGTCTAACACTACCTTCTGAAGACTTTTACCTTTCTTTAAAACAAAAAAAATCAATTTACTGAGCATTCATCATGCTCTTTGAATATGGAATTTTCATTAGTTTTGGCAAAATTCCTTGCATTTGATTTCCTCCTGTCTCTACATGGACCTCTTAATTTGATCCCTGATTTCTTAACTTTTAATTTCTCCTCATCTTTTGTTCTGTCTTCTGGGAAATTTCCTCAGACTTATTTTCCACCTTCTATTGGGTTTTAGGTATTTGTTTTATAGCATTCTGTTCTTGTTTCATGGATGCAAATATCATCTATTTCTTTGTGGATGTTATCTACAACTTTTTTCTGTATATTTATTTTGGTCTCTGTTAAAGGCTTCCTTCAAATGTGTGGTGATGCTTGGATTCTTGTTCATATTTACCTAAAACTTTATCTGGGTGGAGATTTTATGAGCAGTGGGCTTTACAGTAAGAGTTAAGGCATAGGCCCCCATAATTTTACTAGGTACTTATAGATCTTTTTTTCTTGGGAGGTCAATTTCTGCAGAGGGGAATATATTCTCATCTCCTACCTGGGGGATATAAACCTAGCTGCCATGTTCTCTAGGGCAAATGTGGGCAGGCACTGGGGCGGGTTGGGAATCTACAACTACCAGATATCAATTAATTTCTATAATCCCTTTGTTTCAATCCCACCAGAAAATAAACCTCCCATTTTTTGTCAGAGGTGAAGGTTTAGTTTCTTGGGTAGTTGAGAACATGGGCCTAAGGGTCTAACTCTTCCAAATATAGTTTCTATCCTGTTGCAGCTCCACCTGCACATATATCTTCATGGGTAGTCAGTCTCTATGATTCTTAAGGCCTTTTGATGGTGCTGAGTCATAAAGAGACATGCTGCTGATTCTTCCCCCTTATAGACATTTTGTTTTCAGTTTTCTCAAGTTTGCTAGATCAGGCAATACCTACCCGTTTGTTTATCAGTATCTTAAAATTTTCTTTCATATGCTAATCTGTTTATCCATTTGTTTACCATTATCTTAAAATTTTCTTGTTGTTGCTCATCTGTTAACCTCTCTTCTGTTGTCCTTGTCCTTATGCACGTTAGACCATTTTTACAAATCCATTTTCATTTTAATGGTATTTGGCAAGTAGCAAAAGTAAATATGCAGGTTCAACATGGAAGTCCCATTGTTAATCTTTTTTTTTTTTGACATTTTTTTTTATTCTTATATTAATCCCCATACATTACATCATTAGTTTTAGATGAAGTGTTCCATGATTCATTGTTTGTGCATAACACCCAGTGCTCCATGCAGAATGTGCCCTCCTCAATACCCACCACCAGGCTAACCCATCCTTCCACCCCCCTCCCCTCTAGAACCCTGTTTGTTTTTCAGAGTCCATCATCTCTCATGGTTCGTCTACCCCTCCGATTTCCCCCGCTTCATTCTTCCCCTCCCGCTACCTTCTTCTTCTTCTTTTTTTTTTCTCAACATATATTGCATTATTTGTTTCAGAGGTACAGATCTGATATTCAACAGTCTTGCACAATTCACAGCGCTTACCAGAGCACATACCGTCCCCAGTGTCTATCACCCAGTCACCCCATCCCTCCCACCTCACCCCCCACTCCAACAACACTCAGTTTGTTTCCTGAGATTAAGAATTCCTCATATCAGTGAGATCATATGATACATGTCTTTCTCTGTTTGACTTATTTCACTCAACATATTACCCTCCAGTTCCATCCACGTCGTTGCAAATGGCAAGATCTCATTCCTTTTGATGGCTGCATAATATTCCATTGTATATATATACCACATCTTCTTTATCCATTCATCTGTCGATGGACATCTTGGCTCTTTCCACAGTTTGGCTATTGTGCACATTGCTGCTATCCATTGTTAATCTTAAAAGTATTACCCCTGTTACACGTATAAGTATAATATAAAATTTTATGAAGTTCATTTTTTTGAAAAGGAGACATTGTAAAAAAATGTGCTTTTTAGCAATTCCTATTTCAATAAAGTATTTTCTTGCTATTCCTCTGACTGCATTTAGAAATGATAAGATTTCTCTAATTTGTTGCTACTGAGATATTTTCTTAGGTCATTTTCATGTCTATTTTTCATTATGAACTTTGTATCCTAATAGTCTTTCTCACCCAGTTTTTTCACTTTCAATTTTTTTAAACATTCAACTTAAATTGAATTATACAAGTTTTTTGTCTTAGTCCCATGCCACAGCCACAGAACTATGGTGAATATTAAGCTGATTTTGCTTGCTAACATACAGTGTAAGAAAATAATATAATTTAATTGATGTTAAGATATCTGAATACCATTGATATAATATATTGGTATAATATAAATTTAATTTCAGAGAACTTCATCTACAATAAATTTGTCACCAGGAGAAGTGGAAGAAGAAGAAGATGATGAAAACACTTGTGGGCCTTCAGGACTCTGGGAAGCATTAACTCCTTGTAATGGATGTAGGAACCTTGGCTTCCCCATTCTTGCACAGGTAACAGTTTGCTTTTCTTAAAATGTAATAAAACATAAAAATACTTGCCTATGTTTTTAAGGAAATATTTTTTCTCTCTTCCTGAAAATCCAATTAATATCTTACTCATTTTGTAATTTTTCTTCAGTTAAAGGTCAGTAAAATGTTCATCTAACTTGCTGTACATGTGTGTATATGCAAACATATACTTTACATCATTTTATGTAGTTGTGTTATTTTGATCATAATGCTAGTTCCTGAAAAATTGAGTTGGTTTTGAGATTTTTAATATTTATGATCTAGAAATAGTTCATTTAAAGAGTGCTCTTTCAAATTAAATTACAATTTATAATAAAATAATAGAAAATGATTTACAAGGAAACACACAAGGGCTCCTTAAAAGCATTGTCACTGATTTTTTTTTTATTTTTTAGCACAATGGAACATTGTAGAATAATGTTCACCATTGAAAATTATGTAGGACAATCCAAAAATGAGACCAAAACTCTAATATATTGACTATAGTTTTGAAACCATCTCATTATTTGTTAAGTCAATTTTATTCTATTGCATTACCTTCAAATTGCTGTTGTGTATTTTGGACGACAAGCTTATGGAGGAGTTTCAGAAATAAGTAAAATTATCCAGAGCTAGGAAATTTGAAGCCAAAATGAAAATATGAAAAAAACACTTAATACAAAAAACAATGTAATGGCAAAGATATGTATGTGTAACTACTTAGTGGAAAAATAGTCTTGGACAGAAAATAATTTGCGGTAATTGTCTAGAATAGTGTTAGGGTGCCTGGGTGGCTCAGTTGGTTAAGCGACTGCCTTCGGCTCAGGTCATGATCCTGGAGTCCCTGGATCGAGTCCCGCATCGGGCTCCCTGCTCGGCAGGGAGTCTGCTTCTCCCTCTGACCCTCCCCCATCTCGTGCTCTCTCTCTCTGTCTCATTCTCTCTCTCAAATAAATAAATAAAAAATCTTAAAAAAAATAGAATAGTGTTACATCTCAAAAATATTATTTTCTGTTTTGCCTCAAGTATGAAGCGATTATGTCTAAGAAAAAAATCACATTTTTAATGTCTTATGTCACAAGCTGGTCATAGCCACTCAAATTCCAATATTAATTTATTGTAGAGAAAATCAAACCAGCATATAGTACTTAAAAAATCTCTTCACCTTAACATGAACTATTTTTAGGACTTTAAGACCCTATCCTAATCATTACAGAATTGTTATCAATATATACTGGACCATGAGTTCCATAAAGGTAGAGACTATATATTGTATTACATCTATTTCTAAGACCAATGTAGTTCCTAGTATATTGTCAGTAGTAAGTAGTAGTTGAGTGGAACAATGAACAAATGTGTATATTTGGCTGTTTCGTTTCCTCACTTAAAAAGAGTTTTACCTCATATCTGTAAGGAAATAGAAAGGAATGAAAGAAACATAGATTTTATTTTATTACTATAACCTCATCTGCTCAACAATTTACTAGTAATTGAATGCTTTTATCTATTTTGCTTTTATCTATTTTACTTGTTTCATAAGATAAAGTCTTAGGGCTCTTAGCCATCAATAATATATGACTATAATTTGCTTCTCTATCACCTTCCTAAACATTTATTTTTTTCATTTTATTAGGCTTGGTAGTAGGCTTGGTAGTAACTTGATTTTGGTTTATAATTTTTTAATACTAGATATTTTTCTTTGGCCATTTTCCTGTGAAGATTGGCACGTAATAATATTTTAGTAGTTATATTTACCACAAAATGTTTCCCAGTCTGCAGCTTTCCCCCTTAATTTGTATATGTGAGTGTATTTTCTGTAGTTTTTTAAATTATCAATTTCTTTAAACTTCACCTTTTTTTTTGTTTGTTTAATTCACCTCATCTAGAGATAATTCCCATTTCTCTCATTATATTGCATCCTGTTTGGCTTGGATTTTCCTCTGAATCTCTCATTTCTGTTGTCCTGTTTTTAAAACTACATGACTCAATTTTGATATTTTACATATAATGCAGGAGAAATCATGATTGCTTTAATTAGCTGACATGATTGCCTGCTGTTAAAAATTTATATTATATAAAAGTATCCTTATTGGGATTTTAATTGTTACTGCATTACATCTATAAATTTACTTGAGATGTAGTATCCTTTTTTTTTTTTTACTCTATTTAATGTAATGAATGAAGAGTAGAATTCTTTTATTAATATTCTTATCTGGACTTCTACTAATATTTTCAATTTGCTGATGGACTCTCCTTTAACATATATCTGTGTATCTAGAAAAAAATTTAATACATTTGTTGTGACATTGGAGACATCATATCAAGTGTAAATTTGTCCTACAACTTGCAATAGCTTTGAACTCAGGACTTTCTGGGCCAGCTTCAAAATAAAAGTTTTCTTAAAATTTCATGAATAACAGGATTTTATTTTGAAGTTTTTTTTTTAGACCTGAAATAAAAATCATTAAGCCAACCACTGTGTATGTAAGGTCTCATGAACAACCACTACCTTACAGTTTGGTATAGGAGCCTTTGGGATCAGTGGAATTAGAATAGTGCTATGCAAATTTCTGTATACTCAGATTTGTTGGATTCAACTAAAATACATTTATTTCACATTTATAACCCTTAATTTAATTGGAATCAGCACATATGTATCAAATATCTTCTATATTCAAAGCATAGTGCTAGGCTTCAGAAACATGAGGATTATGGAAATGCAGACTTAATTAAAACTATGTGATGTATTACTTTTAGAATCTTAGATTTTTTACTTGCAAAATTAGAACACTGGTTGATCCTGTAGATCTTACACTTCTAAGATTAGCTAATCTCTAGTTTTTGTCTAGATTTTGAATTGATCCTATATTCAAGTTTTAGCCAATTGTTCTGTTTTTCTAGTTTTAATATGCATTTTATTCTTCCATTGTGATGAGATGTTATTTAAATTCTAAATTTCTTTGTGAAAATTTAGAATTTAAATAACATCAGAGAATTAAAATTAAGATTTATAGAATATGTTGGGTACTTTAGTATAATTCCAAAGCAGTTAAATAATATTTAGGTTGGGTAAAAAACAAGAACAAAGAGACTGAGGAAATGAAGCCCTTTCTAGAAAGTATAATTAGTTTTTCAACATTCCTGACAATAATATTTTTATAATAAATAATTTTTACCATTTGCTTCTGTCCCTGGTTATATATTTTGGGGATTTTAGAATTTTTTTTGGTTAATACATGTAGATGAAAAATGGATGAGGGTCTTCGAGAGTAATCTTTAGCATTTTATTCTGTCATCTGTGCATTGAATCACAAATATCAAGTTAAGGGAAAGTTAAAGATAGGTCAGAGCCTGATCAGAAATTGCCATTTGTTTTTATTGCTACCCTTCCCTGTTAATAGAGCATATGTTATTAGAGCAGAGAATTTGAGTCGAATTGTATTAGGGTGGATGATATTGCTTTCCTCCACAGTCCTATACGATATACCCACCTCTGCACCATGTGCAGTACAGGGCTCTGAAACTCTTTCCTAAAAAGTCAGTCCTGCTGGGTGGAGACCTCTGGCTTCCGTCCTGGTCACTCATGTAGGCGTCACTCTGCAAGGTTGTAATGAGGGGTCCCAATACTGAGCTGTTAGCTGTTTTTGCAGTGGGCTTGCCAGTAGTTTCTGCTCTTGGAATCACCATATTTATGCTGCCCTCTGGGAAGAGGCCAGTAACTCCTACTGATGTGCTGGAAATAACCTCTGAGTAGAAGAAGGGCTTGCAGCCCTTGCTAACAACAATGTAAGACATGTCGAATGCTCCCACTATGGCCATTCTAACTGTGCTTCTTCTGGATCTGTGAAGGCTGCTCCTGTCACCATCCCTGCCCTTTTATCTGATACTGTAGGCTTTGTGACTGCAGAAGTGTGTGAACTCTTGAAAGCAGTATGTGTGGGGGCATAATGAATTCATTCCTCCCTAGCATAACCATAAGAGGTGGCCCCAAACAATTCAGGGTTCATGTGAAGACTCCTGATGTCAACTTGATCTTGATCCCTTCCAAAGAAATGAATGACACTTGCCTATGGAAGAGACAAACAAGTGAAATAAGGTGAGACCTTTTATTCCTATAGCTAAGCAATAAGAGCTTATAATAATTTTGAGTTCTCAAGTCCAATCTCCCATTTGTTGCAGGAATCCTCCTCTTCAGTATCTGCTAGAACATTATTGTAATTCACCAGCGAATATCCTCATATACTTTTTTTTATACACTTACGTTAGTATTTCTGCTGGCTAAGTGGCATGCACTTTAATATTCTGGTAGCTACTAACAGTGCTTACAAGCACAGCCCTCTGCCAACGATCTATACAAAATCAGTACATGGTGATCATGGGGAGACGTGGGGGGAGGAAGTGTCAGGATGCCACAGATCGCAATACAATATTGGACATGAAAATAAGAGTTGCTGACAGCTGAGGAAGCTCTGAAATACAGCATTGGGGAACACTTTGGAACACCTAGAACCTCCCCAGTGTGACATGACCTCCAAATGGAGGCTCTTTTGGCCCTGAACCCATTGAAATGTAATGAATTTTCTAGGTGAGCCTCGGTACCAAAGGCTCTGCAGGACTTTTAGCTGTTCTCCCACAGCACCCTGGCCCCATCTTTTAGAGTCTCTGTGAAGACTTACCGCTGGGCTCTTGTCCTCCTCTTCAAACCCACTTATGTCCAGTGTGTCTCCAACTGGGATGGCCTGGGAACCACTGTAAGCCTCTACTGGTGGTCTCAAAATGTAAACAAGGTTTTCCCAATAAACAAAAAGATCTTTTGTATTAGAAGGGGGACACAGCTGAAGGTAAAAAGAGCGGCCAGTGGCAAGCTTCAGGCGGAGCTGTTGTTTTTTACCATTATGGATGGATATTGTTACAAACTTCAAGGGAAACAGTCTGGTTAGCTCTAAGATCTGTGTAGACTTGTAATTTTTTCCCTGGGTGGCAGGGCCATATCTGTTATAGTCATCACAGATAGCAGCTGGTCGGGCCAGCAGCATGACATCAGGTAGTGTGAGGTGGGGGCTAGTGCGAACGATGCCCACGGTCACCATTTGGGCACGGTTGTGCACGTCAATCACTTCTCCTTTTTTACTGACCTGTATAAAGTCACTCTCAAACATTGGGGCATATTTGAATATAGTATACTCCCCCTTATACAGTTGTTGCTGCAGTTTCCCCATGGAGGTATTAAACATACCCATTGCAGGGCTGCTTTGGGCTGTGTAAAGTGGTAACTTATATTGGTTGTTCATGGCTATCTTTTATCAGGACTCCAAGGGGTCCTCCACACTTTACCACACTTTACAGGGTGTCCTATTTCCCTGGTTTCTCTAGCAGGTGGGTTAGCAGTGGTCTTTTGCAGGCTTTTTTTTTTTTTTGATCTCTGAGCAACTGAGAACAGGGTGGGGGTACTGATTACCAATTGCTCAGTGCTAGAGACAATTGCACCTGCACCAGACTGTGCTCTGCCTAGAGCATGGAGATATCGGGGTGCACAATGTTAGGGACCCAGTAGATGACAGGGTGCTCAGATGTTGAGTGCAGAAATCGGGGCCCCAGTAGATATTACCATGTGCAGATGTTGAGGACCAGAGGTCAGGGCCCCAATAGATGTCAAGGTGCATAGATGTTGGGGCCCCAGTAGATGTCAGGGTGCACAAATGTGGAGGCCCACAGAGGTCGGGCCCCAGTAGATGTTATGGTATGCAGATGTGGAGGAGCGAGAGATCCGGGCCTCAGTAGATGTCAGGGAGTGCAGATGTTGAGGTGCTCAGATGTTGGGGTCCCAATAGATGTCAGAGTGTGCAGATGTTGAGGCGTGTAGATGTTGGTGTTCACTTGGAGTGGGGAGGGGCCTCCTCTTGAATCTGACACATTGGTTCACAATAGCCTCTGTTCTTTTGGCTTCCACAACCTCACTGCCAATTGTATTCGTACTGCTCCTCTCCTCCCAAACTGAAGCCTCCCCCTAGGCTTAAACCACCCCACAGGACCCCTTTTATCCTCTCCTGCCCATTGTGACCTGTGCCCACCACACACTTTGTTGCCCAACAGCCCCTCCCTCAGAGCAGGGACACTGTCCTCTCCACCTCACCCCACCCATCCTTACTATGCCACGCTGCCTGCCATAGCTCAGCACAACCCCCTGCCCCAAGGACCCATTGAAGGATCTTAATACATACTTGCAAATTGCTTTCAAAAAGGTTTAGGCAAAATTTCTGTTAGGTATGAGTTTAAAATATACACACTCTCTTATCCAGTACTTTTAGTTGTAGCCAATTAGAAGTAATTGTAGACAATTTATCTTGAAGAGAGAATTGGACAGGTTGGTAAATAGGTTAGTACAGGGTGTTTATTAAGCTTTATTGTAGCAAAAAAAGATAATAAATAAGATTAATATCTTACAATCAGGGTTTGGTTAAATAAATTATGGAACATTCTATGATACAATACTCTGCAGTCATAAAAATCATTATGTAGTTCCCTATTTGACATGAAAAGATATTCCTGATTTTTTTTCTTAAAGATAAAGAGCAAAGCAAAAAGATTTCAAACAAGTGTTATATGTGTGGTCCAATTTATATAAGATCATCTGTGTGTATGTTTGTGTATGAAAGTATGTTCAGTGAAATGTTTAAAGGGCTTATCTCCAGATGGTGTAACTTTTATTTTCTTTATACTTTCTATTTTTATTAGGATAATTTCTATTAATGGGAAAAATAAAACTTTTTATTAGTAATTTTTTTTACAGCCATGATACATTTTATGTTTTGATACACCTTCACATTGCTGATGAGATTTTAAGCTTTTTCCTAGACATCTCTATGCTGACTATACAGTGAAAAGAGCCTTAAACATTCTTAAACATTCTATTCTTACTGCTATCATATTGTAATATATATATAAAAAGTCTGAGAAGTTTTGCCAACTATTATAAATGTTATCAATGCAATAAGATTAAGATATCTTTATTGGTATAATGGTATACATAACACACACATACACACACATATGTAAAGCCATAGTTCTTGAGTCTTTAGTTTGTTCTATAGGTCAAAACAAACATTTTTATTCCCTTCATATTGAAATATCTGGTTATTTCTGATAATATGAGTATTTTTCCTTTTTTATTAAGAAGCCTCTTAACATACCAATGGCAATTTTTACTGGTCTGTTTAAAGTCCTTGTATCTTAATTTCTACTTTATGTCTCTATTACTTATGTTACAATTAGAAAAAACAGTAAGCCTAATATACATTTAGTAATCAAACTAACATTTTAAAAGTATCTCAGTGGTTTTGGTGTTTTTTGAAAAGAATAGCATTGGACACAATAATTTAATTTAGGTGCTTTTAAAAAAATAAAGTGAAAATACATCTGTTTTCTTTATTTTTTAAATTTTTTTATTTTACTTTTATTTTATTTTTTTAAAGATTTTATTTATTTTTCAACAGAGAGAGAGAGACAGCGAGAGAGGGAACACAAGCAGGGAGAGTGGGCTTCCCGCGGAGCAGGGAGCCCGCTGCGGGACTCGATCCCAGGACCCTGGGATCATGACCTGAGCCTAAGGCAGACGCCCAACGACTGGGCCACCCAGGCGCCCAATACATCTGTTTTCTTAAAAGTACTTTTATGCCATGCACATATATTACAAAATATTTATCTTAGGGTTCCATTAGAGCATGAGATAATTGTGTTGTCTCCAGGGAAATCAGACACTGCAATACTTGTAGGGCCTATGGACTTTCAGAAAATTTTCCAGACCATTCATTAGACCAACAACAGTAGAACTACTATTATTGGCCTGATAATCATCATGTGTAGCATTCTGGAAAATATATCTCTATTTTCATTAATCTGGTATAGTTTGTTTTGAACTCCGCTAGCCATTTAGAAAACTACCTTATTAATATTTGCCTCAAAACTTAAGAAGTTCAAATGGCTAAATAAAAATCTACCTGAACCTGAGATTAAGGAATTCTTTTTTTTTTTTTGGCAGTTATTTATTTATTTATCTATTTATTTATTTTGTTTTGTTTTTTGTTTTGTTTTTGTGGGGTTTCTTTGTTTTTTTGTTGTTGTTTTAATTTTATTATGTTATGTTAGTCACCATATAATACATCATTGGTTTTTGATGTGGTGATCCACAATCCATTGTTTTCGTATAACACCCAGTGCTCCATGCAGTACATGCCCTCCTTAATACCCATCACCGGGCTAACCAATCCCTCCTCCCCCCTCCCCTCTAAAATCCTGTTTGTTTCTCAGAGTCCATAGTCTCTCACGGTTCATTCTCCCTGCAATCCGCCCCCCACTGCCATTTTTCCCTTCCTTCTCCTAATGTCCTCCATGCTATTCCTTATGTTCCACAAATAAGTGAAACCATATGATAATTGACTTTCTCTGCTTGACTTATTTCACTTAGCATAATCTCCTCCAGTCCCATCCATGTTGATGTAAAAGTTGGGTATTCATCTTTTGTGATGGCTGAGTAATATTACATTGTACATATGGACCACATCTTCTTTATCCCTTCATCTGTTGAAGGGCATCTCGGCTCTTTCCACAGTTTGGCTATTGCGGACATTGCTGCTATGAACATTGGGGTGCATATGGCCCTTCTTTTCACTACATCTGTGTCTTTGGGGTAAATACCCAGGAGTGCAATTGCTGGGTCATAGGGTAGCTCTATTTTTAAATTTTTGAGGCACCTCCACACTGTTTTCCAAAGTGGCTGTACCAACTTGCATTCCCACCAACAGTGTAAGAGGGTTCCCCTTTCTCCACAACCTCTCCAACATCTGTTGTTTCTTGTCCTGTCCATTTTTGCCATTCTAACTGGTGTAAGGTGGTATCTCAATGTGGTTTTGATTTGAATTTCCCTGATGGCTAATGATGATGAACATTTTTTCATGTGTCTGTTAGCCATTTGTATGTCTTCTTCAGAGAAGTGTCTTTTTATATCTTCTGCTCATTTTTTGACTTGATTATTTGTTTTTTGGGTGTTGAGTTTGAGAAGTTCTTTATAGATCTTGGATATCAGCCCTTTATCTGTAGTGTCATTTGCAAATATCTTCTCCCATTCTGTGGGTTGCCTCTTTGTTTTGTTGACTGTTTCCTTTGCTGTGCAGAAGCTTTTTATCTTGATGAAGTCCCAAAAGTTCATTTTTGCTTTTGTTTCACTAGCTTTTGGAGACGTATCTTGAAAGAAGTTGCTGTGGACGATGTCAAAGAGGTTACTGCCTATGTTCTCCTCTAGGATTTGGATGGATTCCTGTCTCACATTGAGGTCTTTCATCCACTTTGGGTTTATCTTTGTGAATGGTGTTAGAGAATGGTCGAGTTTCATTCTTCTGCATGTGGCTGTCCAATTTCCCCAGCACCATTTATTGAAGAGACTGTCTTTTTTCCATTGCATGTTTTTTCCTGCTTTGTCAAAGATTATTTGATCATAGAGTTGAGGGTCCATATCTGGGTTCTCTATTCTGTTCCATTGGTCTATATGTCTGTTTTTGTGCCAGTACCATGCTGTCTTGGTGATCACAGCTTTGTAATATAGCTTGAAATCGGGCAACGTGATGCCCCCAGCTTTGTTTTTCTTTTTCAACATGTCCTTGGCAATTTGGGGTCTTTTCTGATTCCATACAAATTTTAGGATTGTTTGTTCCAGCACTTTGAAAAATGTCATTGGAATTTTGATCGGGATGGCACTGAAGGTATAGATTGCTCTGGGTAGCATAGACATTTTAACAATGTTTATTCTTCCGATCCATGAGCATGGAATATTTTTCCATCTTTTTGTATCTTCTTCAATTTCTTTCATGAGTGTTTTGTAGTTCCTAGAGTATAGATCCTTTACCTCTTTGGTTAGGTTTATTCCGAGGTATCTTACGGTTTTTGGTGCTATTGTAAATGGAATCGATTCTCTAATTTCTCTTTCTACAGTTGCGTTGTTAGTGTATAAGAAAGCAACTGATTTCTGTGCATTGATTTTGTATCCTGCCACATTACTGAATTGCTGTATGAGTTCTAGTAATTAAGGAAATCTTTTTATGAGAATGTAGAAGCTTTCTGTATGCTTTCTCTTAGAACAGATTTCCATAGTTAGGCATTAGATATTATTAAAATAAATTTATGCTCCCTGTCCTCTACATTAGAGTTGTGTCATTGAGTAAATCATTTAATTTCCCTGGGTCTTATTTTTCTCATCCTTGAAATTGAGATGACTCATTAGGTATCTTTCACCTTCAGA